ACACCGTCGGCTTTCGTCGCCGCTAGTTCTTTGAAGTCGGCTTGGTGTGTCCCGGCCTTAACAGTGAAGAGAACAGAGTTAAATCACCCAATTACCTAAATTTAATTTCATTAAATCAGAAATTAATTCACACACTCCTAAATCAAGGTGTGCTAACAGTATGCTTACTTCCCCCAGGTCAAAGTCTTTGCTTTTACATGTATTCTTCCTCCCTCTGCAAACTCGGCACAGCCAAATGAAGACAGACGAAAGCACCATTCAGGCTTTCAGACATGCTTGATATCCATCTCTGAAAGACACCGTCATGTGGGCCCCTTTTCATTTAAACCCTAACAAGGCTGCACCGCCAGCCACTGATAGAGCACAGAGGAAAGCTAAACCAGTGTAAAAAGTCAATAATGTCTAAACTTAAGTGTGTAACATGTTACCAAATATTTTTAGTGTTAAGTAGACTAATAACAGAAAAAGATCATACTACTTCACTTACATACAAAACAACAACTGCACAAGATTTTTAGACATTACGGCTTCCAAGCAAGACACACATTGGCCTTAACAGGCTGTATTTTGAGCAAAGAAGAATTTGATTTCACAATGTAGATACGATATTGTGTATGAACTGATTGATGTGATACAGGAAACCACAGATTTTTTGGAAAACCACAAACATGACCAAATTGCACAAATGTTTTGTTCAAGCAGCAGATATAAGATAACGACTGAGGTGTAAACAAACTAGTATACAGCTGAGATGCTCAACCATACATTCACAAGCATCTTTTAAAAGTTTTTCAGCCTTGATTTGATAAACTTCGGAGTGTTGCTAGTCTGGCCCGTTAATATGACAAATAAGGGACCCAAAATTAAGTCAAAATGACCATTTAAAATGCTATAAGTGTTCACTGCTAATTAGTCATGCCCTGTTATTAAGACCACCCTGACTGTATCCAGTCTGTTGTGTGTTTTAATCATAGTTCAATAATAAAAACCATAGTTTAATTTACAAAAAATAATTAATAACATGTGTCCTTCATAAAAAGTTCTACTTGCTTTTAAATGTAGGTTTATAAAGTATACAGTCAAACCAAAAATTATTCAGACACCAGATATAATTTTTGATATTTATTTACTAGTGGGTGAAGGACACTATAGTTCACTTAGCCTATGTAAGTGAGGATAGCAAATTAAAGTAAACTGTGACATATTATACCCAAAAACTCTTCATACAGTGGTCTACCAGTAAATATTTGGGACCAAAAATGTGATTTGACACTTTGACCTGACCATGTTTTGTTACATGCCTTTCTATCAAAGTTATCTGACATTATCAAGATGAATTTGTTCTGACACAGTTAAACTCTTGAGTTCTTGCCATATTTTATTACCATTTTCTAAACTATAGCGAATAAACTGTGATAATGTAAGAAATGTTGAAGGTGTCTGAATAAATTTTGGTTTGACTGTATATGTATAAACAACATATGTGACCATGAACCACAAAACCAGTCTTAAGTCGCAGGGGTAAATTTGTAGAAATAGCCAAAAATACATCGTATGGGTCAAAATGATCAATTTTTCTTTTATGCCAAAAATCATTAGGATATTAAGTGAAGATCATGTTCCATGAAAATATTTTGCAAATTTCCTACTGTAAATATATAAAAACTTATTTTTTTTATTAGTAACATTTATTAATTTTTTATTAGTAACATGCATTGCTAAGAATTTCATTTGGACAGCTTTAAAGGCGATTTTCTCAATATTTTGATTTTTTGCACCCTCGGATTCCAGATTCTCAAATAGTTCTCGTCCTAATATTGTCCTATCCTAACAAACCATACAGCAATGAAAAGCTTATTTATTCAGCTTTCAGATGATATATAATTCTCAATTTCGAAAAATTGACCCTTATGACTGGTTTTGTGGTCCAGGGTCACATATAGGTAGCCTATATGTGCAAATAACACAACTTAAGTCACTTAGCTTAGTTAAAAGACTTAAAAACTAGGTTTTGTGTTTCAGACGAAGGACCAGAAGGCAACGAAGGCAACAAATGATCCCTGTGATGACTGGTAAAGGGCATTTCTGAGATACATGACAATGTTAAAAGGGTTAAAAGGGTTAAAAGTAGTGTTGACTTACAGTGAGACTGTTCTGTTGGGAAATGATTCGGGTGAAGGCACCTGATGGAGCTCCATGTTACTGCAGACCACTTTTCTGTCCAGCGTTGCCCCAGACAGAGAGCTTTTCCCTGCACTTCTGGAGCGTTCATCATATGATTTACATTCAGTGGATCCTGCAGAGCTCGAGCTCCTGAGCAGCACGAAAGCCAGTAAAAGGACGCAAGAAGCGTCCAGCGACATCCCTCCTGCCTTCGCTGAGATTCACACGGCAAGAAGAGGGGGTTAGATTAGCATATAAATAGCCCAGAAAGCCTTTTGTTGTTGTTGTTTATATCTAAACACGACGCAAATTCATCAAAAGCCATCAAGCAGAGACGCAGGTCAGCACTCCTTTTAAGTCATGGTCAAAATATTGACACGACGCAACATTAGATAAATCGATGTATCATGGTTTTGTGCTCTCCACATTAAGCAATCCTCAAAGAAGCAGTTGAATAGCCTCCTTTGTTTTCCATATGATTCATTTTTACAACTCCACAAGCCCTTTCCGGTTGATTGTCCGCAAGTTTCCACTGTTTTACGCGAAGGAGCGCTGCTTTAAGTCGTTACATTTTCTTTGTTTCCAGTCAAAGTGGAGATCTCGCTACTCCACCGAGAGACAGCAGCTGCAACCATCCCAAGATAACAGTCTCACAAACTCACAGAAATCTGATCGCAAAACTTTTCTTCTGCGCTCATCTCATTGCACATTTGGCCTCCAAAAGAAAGCGAAAGAGTTTCTAGACTGTAGTTCTTCTAAGATTCCATAAAAGAGCTCATTAAACGCGATATATCCGCGTGCCCAACAATAAAACCATTCTTGAGAAACTGAATGCGTAAAGTTGCTTTTCACTTTGCGACTGCTCCACACAGGCTTCAACGCTGCAACGGACCGCGACGGTAAAGACGCTTTTCGAAAGACCCAGGCGGAATGCGTAACCCAGAGCCCCAAAGCTCGACCCTTGCAGTCGGTCAGCGGAGAAAAGCGTGACGGTATCCAGCGCCGTTCAGTCCGCCGCGGAGTGCACAGACTCTATTGGGTTCTCTGAGCCCCAGGCTCCATGTTCCATTTCCTCCCGTGACGTCATCACGGGCTTGGTCTGAACTCCAGTCAACACCGATCCCTTCAGTCAAATCACTGCTGTTGCCCGGTCCTTCCATAAAAGATACTAAATAAGTCTATGGAATATGTCCTTAATTTATGTAATTATTATGAATTTTTTTTCTCTCCATATTTTCCATCCAAGGTTTTTCTTCCTATATCTTCCTACTCTGTCACATTTTTTTTAATGAGGTAGACTCACTTGTTTGTTTAACTACTAATTAAAAAAAAGATTCTTGAAGCAATATGATTTTATTTTTTATTATTATTTTTTATTATTTATTTTTTTTGGAAATGCTATTGATAAGGTTTTAGTCTGTTTTCTTGTCAGTGTTGTCTATTTTATTTATAATTTATTTAATTATTTAGCTAGTGCTGTCAAACGATTAATCACATCCAAAATAAAAGTTTTTGTTTACAAAATATATGTGTGTGTGTACTGTGTATATTTATTATGTATATATAAATACACACACAAGCATGTATATATTTAAGAAAGTTGTTATGTTATATATATGAAGAGTTTATTTGCAAAAGCAGATAACTTTGTTTTTTTATTTTCAAAAATCATGTTTTTTTAAATTATGTTATCATGTTTTTATTGTGTTTAATTGTGTTAGTTAGCTGTATTTTTTATTTATTTTTTGTTATTTTTACTTAATCAAAATAACCCAACTGCAGTTTGATTGAGATTAATTGGAATGCACAATGAAAAAACATGATTTTTGAAAATGGTTAAAAACGGAGTCATCTGTTTTTGCAAATGAACTCTTCATATATAATTATATGAATGCAAATTTATAAATGTAAATACATGTAAACATTTTCAAAATATATACTGTGCGTGTGTGTATTTATAAAGGCCTATACACAATAAATATACACAGTACACACATCTATTATGTAAACAAAAACTTTTATTTTGGAACGCGATTAATCGCGATTAATCGGTTGACAGCACTTTTTAATTAAAGTATTTAAAGTGCCCCTATTATGGATTTTTGAAAATGACCTTTCATGCAGTGTGTAACACAGCTCTAAGTGAATGAAAACATCCTGCAAAGTTTTAAATCTGAAAGTGCACCGTGTATAAAGTTATTGTCTCTCAAAAGAAAGAGTCTCAAGATGAATTTGTTCTGACACAGTTAAACTCTTGAGTTCTTGCCATATTTTATTACCATTTTCTAAACTATAGCGAATAAACTGTGATAATGTAAGAAATGTTGAAGGTGTCTGAATAAATTTTGGTTTGACTGTATATGTATAAACAACATATGTGACCATGAACCACAAAACCAGTCTTAAGTCGCAGGGGTAAATTTGTAGAAATAGCCAAAAATACATCGTATGGGTCAAAATGATCAATTTTTCTTTTATTCCAAAAATCATTAGGATATTAAGTGAAGATCATGTTCCATGAAAATATTTTGCAAATTTCCTACTGTAAATATATAAAAACTTATTTTTTTTATTAGTAACATTTATTAATTTTTTATTGACCCTTATGACTGGTTTTGTGGTCCAGGGTCACATATAGGTAGCCTATATGTGCAAATAACACAACTTAAGTCACTTAGCTTAGTTAAAAGACTTAAAAACTAGGTTTTGTGTTTCAGACGAAGGACCAGAAGGCAACAAGTCGCAGGAATGATCCCTGTGATGACTGGTAAAGGGCATTTCTGAGATACATGACAATGTTAAAAGGGTTAATGTACTGTAAAGTAGTGTTGACTTACAGTGAGACTGTTCTGTTGGGAAATGATTCGGGTGAAGGCACCTGATGGAGCTCCATGTTGCTGCAGACCACTTTTCTGTCCAGTGTGGCCCCAGACAGAGAGCTTTTCCCCGCACTTCTGGAGCGTTCATCGTATGATTTACATTCAGTCGATCCAGCAGAGCTAGAGCTCCTGAGCAGCACAAAAGCCAGTAAAAGGACGCAAGTGGCGCCCACCGACATTACTCCTGCCTTCCTTGATATTCACACGGCAAGAAGAGGGGGTTACATTAGCATATAAATAGCCCAGAAAGCCTTTCGTTGTTGTTGTTTATATCTAAACACGACGAATATTCGTCAAAAGCCATCAAGCAGAGACGCAGGTCAGCGCTCCTTTTAAGTCATGGTCAAAATATTGACACGACGCAACATTAGATAAATCGATGTATCATGGTTTTGTGCTCTCCACATTAAGCAATCCTCAAAGAAGCAGTTGAATAGCCTCCTTTGTTTTCCATATGATTCATTTTTACAACTCCACAAGCCCTTTCCGGTTGATTGTCCGCAAGTTTCCACTGTTTTACGCGAAGGAGCGCTGCTTTAAGTCGTTACATTTTCTTTGTTTCCAGTCAAAGTGGAGATCTCGCTACTCCACCGAGAGACAGCAGCTGCAACCATCCCAAGATAACAGTCTCACAAACTCACAGAAATCTGATCGCAAAACTTTTCTTCTGCGCTCATCTCATTGCACATTTGGCCTCCAAAAGAAAGCGAAAGAGTTTCTAGACTGTAGTTCTTCTAAGATTCCATAAAAGAGCTCATTAAACGCGATATATCCGCGTGCCCAACAATAAAACCATTCTTGAGAAACTGAATGCGTAAAGTTGCTTTTCACTTTGCGACTGCTCCACACAGGCTTCAACGCTGCAACGGACCGCGACGGTAAAGACGCTTTTCGAAAGACCCAGGCGGAATGCGTAACCCAGAGCCCCAAAGCTCGACCCTTGCAGTCGGTCAGCGGAGAAAAGCGTGACGGTATCCAGCGCCGTTCAGTCCGCCGCGGAGTGCACAGACTCTATTGGGTTCTCTGAGCCCCAGGCTCCATGTTCCATTTCCTCCCGTGACGTCATCACGGGCTTGGTCTGAACTCCAGTCAACACCGATCCCTTCAGTCAAATCACTGCTGTTGCCCGGTCCTTCCATAAAAGATACTAAATAAGTCTATGGAATATGTCCTTAATTTATGTAATTATTATGAATTTTTTTTCTCTCCATATTTTCCATCCAAGGTTTTTCTTCCTATATCTTCCTACTCTGTCACATTTTTTTTAATGAGGTAGACTCACTTGTTTGTTTAACTACTAATTAAAAAAAAGATTCTTGAAGCAATATGATTTTATTTTTTATTATTATTTTTTATTATTTATTTTTTTTGGAAATGCTATTGATAAGGTTTTAGTCTGTTTTCTTGTCAGTGTTGTCTATTTTATTTATAATTTATTTAATTATTTAGCTAGTGCTGTCAAACGATTAATCACATCCAAAATAAAAGTTTTTGTTTACAAAATATATGTGTGTGTGTACTGTGTATATTTATTATGTATATATAAATACACACACAAGCATGTATATATTTAAGAAAGTTGTTATGTTATATATATGAAGAGTTTATTTGCAAAAGCAGATAACTTTGTTTTTTTATTTTCAAAAATCATGTTTTTTTAAATTATGTTATCATGTTTTTATTGTGTTTAATTGTGTTAGTTAGCTGTATTTTTTATTTATTTTTTGTTATTTTTACTTAATCAAAATAACCCAACTGCAGTTTGATTGAGATTAATTGGAATGCACAATGAAAAAACATGATTTTTGAAAATGGTTAAAAACGGAGTCATCTGTTTTTGCAAATGAACTCTTCATATATAATTATATGAATGCAAATTTATAAATGTAAATACATGTAAACATTTTCAAAATATATACTGTGCGTGTGTGTATTTATAAAGGCCTATACACAATAAATATACACAGTACACACATCTATTATGTAAACAAAAACTTTTATTTTGGAACGCGATTAATCGCGATTAATCGGTTGACAGCACTTTTTAATTAAAGTATTTAAAGTGCCCCTATTATGGATTTTTGAAAATGACCTTTCATGCAGTGTGTAACACAGCTCTAAGTGAATGAAAACATCCTGCAAAGTTTTAAATCTGAAAGTGCACCGTGTATAAAGTTATTGTCTCTCAAAAGAAAGAGTCGACTCTGAATCCCAAGCTGTTTCATGTTGAGGTCAACATGAAACATTAGCATATTGCCCGCCCACTCGTTGGTCTTTTCGCATTGGTCTGAATGAAAGCCCGCCCACTTGTTGGTCTTTTCCCCTTGGTCTGAATGAAAATGCAAATTCATTCTTTGCCACTAGGTGCCGCTTTTGGAGAGGTAAAATAGCGGTTTCCCCGGTAATGCTGTACACAAAGCAGCACTGCTCTCACAAACGCTGCTTTTTTCAGGCATTACAGGCATGATGAAATGAAAATGAGACCAATTGGACCAATCACCGCAGATTAGCGTCACGCAAAGGAGGGGTTTGGAAAAATGAATCGTTAAACGTATTGTTTGGGAGTCGTTGAGTAAATAAGGTAAAAATAAATCCATATTATAAGACAATTAAAGTGTTTTTTGACCTTGCATGCATGTCTGTTATTGGGGACTCCCAAAACCAAAATATGAACCATTCATTACCCGTAATAGGGGCACTTTAATTTTAATTATTATATTAATTTTGTCTATCTATGATTTTATTATTTTATTTTATTAATTCATTTATTTATTTAGCTCAATGCTGTTTTGTTGTTTTCTTTTATGCTTTTCACTTGTTGCACGTGACGTTTTGGGTAGATGCTCACTAATGTTCGGTGTTTGTACAAAATTATTTCTGCTTGCTTAAACAAACAAACAAATGAACGAACGAACAAATAAATAAATATTTGTAATATTTTTTAGTTTTAATTTAAGTTTTAAAAGGTTAATTTATATTTAAATTTTAATTTCCATAAATTTCCATGCCTGCAAATGATTTCAACTTTTAGTGATTTAAACTTGTTAGTGTATACAACTTTTGTAGCTCATTGAGTTAAGATACACTATATAGTAAATTAAATTAAGTAAATTACATAAAACAATGTGATTAAAATGTAGCAAAAAATATAACTGACCCACTTTGTCGTTAACCTACTGTATGAAAAGGACATACATTTCCTTTAAAGGGGTCAAATGATGCAATTTCAATTTTTCCTTTCTCTTTGGAGTGTTACAAGCTCTTGGTGCATAAAGAAGATCTGTAAAGTTGCAAAGACTAAAGTCTCAAATCCAAAGAGATATTCTTTATAAAAGTTAAGAGTCAGCCACACCTACCTAAAACGCCTCGTTCTAACACGCCCCCACATTTCGTTGTGAAGTAAAGTACTTTGAACGAAACTACTTTGTTTGGCCTTACAAAAATGGACACGACTAGAAATCAGTGGTTAAGTTGTATTTACAACACTGTTCCAGAACAGTTCAACCCAAATATTCAGATGTGTGCAGCACATTTTATGGAGGACCGTTTCCTGATCCTGGGAGAGTAGACTACAATGGCGGCTGTTCTGACTCACTGACTGTAAGTACGTTTTCATATTTCAAGGATTTGCCACTGACGATTCAAACGTGAGTTTTTTTGGGCAGTGTAGAGTAGTGCTTGTTGTTTGTCATTTCTCAAATGCAGACATGGTTTTATGTTTGCGCGATGCAACGCAACGCGTAAAAAGACAGTATAAGTCATTATAATCCGTAATTATGTCCCCACTGGATGCAACAAATCTCGTTTATAATGGGTTTTTTAATGTTTTTGTCTCGTCGCTCTGGCCGAGACAAGGCATCACAATATGGCAAGGGGCGTAACATTTCCGTCACGCGCTTGAGGTATTCGGCCAATCACAACGCATTGGATAGCTGGCCAATCACAGCACACCTCACTTTTCAGACCGATGAGCTTTGTAAAAATCGACGCATTTCAGAAAGGCGGGGCATAGAGGAGAAACAATAATGTACAGTATGTGGAAAATAATGTGTTTTTTGAACCTTAAACCGCATAAACACATTTCATTACACCAAATACACAAAATAATGTTCTTTTTAGCAACATCATATGACCCCTTTAAGTTTATAGCTTTCCTTTACAAAGCCGCAAAACAAAATGCAACTCAATACTAAAGGATCTTGATTCATTGTGTAGGTTCTCATTTGTTTTTGTGGCCCTCACAAAAGGCTCTGTTTACACTCCTGCGCTAAAAACAAGTTCAGACAGGTTGGCAAAAAACAAGGTAGCCTATAGATGGGCTCTCATAGCAGAACAACCTGATGAGAACAATGCCTTGTGTGCAGTGTTTGTGACACTGAATCGAGTGGATATGTTTCTGTTTCCTATGCTGGGAGCATCAATCTTTCTCATATATTGTCATTTTGATCAGGGACAATTTAGAAGCAGTGTGCAAAGAGGACTGCATCGCATGCAGGTCAAATGTCTTTGTCCTTGGGCTATTCAGTTTTCATTTCCATTAGTAATATTTGCTTTTTAGTCTGAAACTTGAGATGCGTTAAACATTTGTATTACACAGGTTGAAACGCATATTTAACCACTAGTGGAAATATTAAAATGTTGTACTTTTGTTAATTCCATTCTTAAGTAATATGTACTGTGTGAAATGTAATTTTATGAAAAAAAAAAAAAAAAAAAAAAAAACTTTAAAGGGGAATAAAAAGTACTTGGGTGTCATGCTGAAGTGCGTGATGACGTCAGGCGCAGGGCGTGCTGACGTTCAGCGCTGATTTTAAAGGGGCGCTATGATCGAAACTGAAGCGGAAGATACGTGCGGCCTTTAGTAGGTAGCAAGTATTTTATTTAGTCCCTTTAACAGCGCGATAACATTTCACTTCATTATCGTCCTTTACCATGTCTGGACTAGATGTCACCGTATTTCCACACGACTTTGCGTGGGGAGCTGCGACTGCTGCTTATCAAATAGAAGGTAAAGTTTACTCTAGTGCTCATGTTTACTGTAGTGTTCCACACAGCACACTGAAACGACGAAGTGGTTATCGACTTTATTATTTGATCTGACTTATTTGCTAAAGAGTTGTTCATTACAAAGCGTACTATGGCATTACATTACAATGTTTTCAATGTGATATCATTATAACATAGCTTTTTTTTTTTTTTTTTTGAGATTTACCATGGTAATTATATGGTATACTTTAAAGTACCTTACAATACCATGCTATATAATATCACTGTGTCACAGCACTTCGGTATTTTAATGGACTGTTAATTCTGTAGCAGTCAAATTTTCAACTTTGTTATTTGACAGCTGTACATTATGAAAAATGAAATGTGATTATGTATAATGTAGGTCTAAATTTTCAGATGAATTTCCTAACCGTCTTGCAGGTGGCTGGAATATGGATGGTAGAGGCCCCAGCATATGGGACACATTCTGCCATGCCAAAGGAGGGGTGTTTGAAGACCATACTGGAGATGTAGCCTGTAACAGCTATCAGCTCTGGGAAGAGGACCTGAAATGTATCCAGCAGCTGGGACTCACCCATTACCGTCTGTCCTTATCCTGGTCACGGCTTCTTCCCGACGGAACCACAAATCATGTCAATCCAAAAGGTGCTCCGGGGAAAATTACACTCGTAGTGTGAGGTTCAGAGGAGTCAAAACACCAAAGCCAATCTTTTGTTCTTTCTCTGTGCTAAACAGCTTTACAAACACTGTAAATGACACTTTGAAAAGATAACTTTTCACTAAAAGTCACACAAAGTAAAATTTAATTAATTATTTATCTAAATAGCACAAATATTCACCAGTAGTAACAGGACATTATGAAAACTGTGTAAATATGCTTTCATTGAAGTTCAAAGGTTCTGAATTCACAAAGAAGTCTGAGTAAATAAAGAATCGACCCTTGTGTGTTTGTTTTGTTGGGCAATTTTATTATAATTTTTTTTTCAACTGGGAATAGTTGTTTTACACATTTTATAATGGTTAAAGTTACTATTGATGATTCTTGATGATTCTTACAACAACAATCCAATCAATTTCCAATAGACAAAATCAAGTTCTGCTGTACATTTTTCCTAATTTGTGAAGCCACTGAACTCACAATAGAGTAGTGCTATTATCATTAACTAAAACTAATCAATTTAGTAATGTCCATTACTTAAAACAAAGTAACCGTGAACTAAAATAAAATAAATAATTTAATTAATTAATAATTGAAAAAAAGTTAAACTTTTTTTTATTTCAGTTATCTGCCAGGGCAAAATTTTCATTTAGTTTAACTTGATGTGCTGTACTAAACTAAAAGAAAATAAAACTAATAAATAAGAATTAATAAATAAAAAAAAACTATATAGACACACAAACAAAACTAATAAAAATGACAAAAAACACAACAAAATTACTTAAAATTGAAAGTATAAATCAAAACAAAATAGAAAAATAAAAGTAATTCAAAATATTAACAATAGCTATAATAGTATATCAATGATACTGAACACTGCAATAGCGGGGAAAAAATCACAATCACAATTTCCATTTCATACTGACTTTTTACATTGTGGAATGATTTATGTAAAAAAAAGAAAAAAAAAGTTGTTTAAAACAAGAAGTTTTCAACTTCCATGAAGTTTCTTTACTGTGTGCTTGATGCTTTTTTGTAACCCTCAGGAGTGGCCTATTATAACAAAGTGATCGACGACTTGATTGCTTGTGGTGTGACGCCCATGATCACATTATACCACATGGACTTACCACAGGCCTTGCAGGATCTCAGCGGATGGAGCTCGACAGAGATTGCAGACATCTTTGAAAGTTATGCCAGGTTTTGCTTTAAGTCCTTTGGGGACAGAGTGAAGCTCTGGATCACACTGAACGAGCCCTATGTTTGTGCCAAGCTGGGCCATGAGGACGGGACCTTTGCCCCTGGGATCAAAGATCCAGGAATATCAGTCTACTTGGCGGGTCATAACATGCTGCGCGCCCACGCCAAAGCCTGGCATACTTATAATACTCATTTCAAGCCTTTACAAGCAGGGCGAGTATCTCTTGCCCTGAACAGTGACTGGGCAGAGCCGTCGGACCCGGGCTCTCCTAAAGATGCTGCAGCCACTGAGCGCTACAAGGATTTCACTCTGGGCTGGTTTGCCTGTCCTGTGTTTTGCACAGGAGATTACCCAGAGTCCATGAGGGCCAGGATTGAATCTAGGAGCTTGGGTCTGGGATGCAAGCAGGGCTCAAGGCTACCACGTTTCTCAAAAGATGAGCCCTCTCCTCTGGGCACGGCAGATTTCTTTGCACTGAACTATTATACGTCTCGGAAAGTAAAAGATTTAAATGGTGGTAGTAAGAAGAGCGAGCTCAGTTTTGTGGGAGATCAGGGGGCAGAGGGTGTTGTTGACCCATCGTGGCCCATATGTGGGGTGCACTGGTTGGCTGTTGTTCCTGATGGATTGCGGAAATTGCTAAAATATATAAAGGTGTTTGCATTTATTTGAACAAGTGTCTACACTTTATATTTAATTGGGTTTATATTCATTATATAGAGATATACAGTATATTGGCATATTAACAAAATCATATAAATGTGCATGTTTCTTTAGGACACGTACACCAGTCTGCCCATTTATATCACAGAAAATGGCTTTTCCCAGATGGGGCCGGTTCAGATTGAAGATACGGACCGTTGCCAGTTCTATCAGGACACTCTGCAGGAAGTTGGCAAAGGTACTGTCATATTAACACTTCTCAATGTGTAATAAAATACAGAGTGCAAAGGTCATTCTATACAGTTAGACTATAATACCATTGTGAAAAAGTCTGCTATTTAACTATACTGAATGTGAACTTGTAGTGTACTTAAAATCTTGAAAGTATTTTTAAAAATATATATTTGCAGATAATATAATATTCATAAAATATAAGACATAAAGAGAGTACACATAAAAAAAACCAAACACTAAACATTAGTTTAAACTCTTATAGAGTACACATTCATAACTTTCTTAACAGACTTTTAAAGAGCACTTTGTAATGTCAAATGAAAATATGTATTTTAAAGAGCTTTTAATAATCTTTTGTTGTGTTTGTTTGAAGCACACTTATTTTGGCATGTTGCAACTTTATTGCAACGTTATCATTGCAATCTTACAAATATATTTAAATACATGATATACAAGTTTCAGTAGAAATGACTTTAAGGTTTTTTCGGCAGTACAACTTTAACCATATTTCAAAGGCAATCGAAGTAATTATGAAATTACAAATAAAGGTTACTTTTAAGTTCAAGTCATTATATACATTTAAACTACAATACATTTTCATTTAATTACTTAAAATCTTGAAAGTATTTAAAAAAATATATATTTGCAGATAATATAATATTCATAAAATATAAGACATAAAGAGAGTACACATTAAAAAAACCAAACACTAAACATTAGTTTAAACTCTTATAGAGTACACATTCATAACTTTCTTAACAGACTTTTAAAGAGCACTTTGTAATGTCAAATGAAAATATGTATTTTAAAGAGCTTTTAATAATCTTTTGTTGTGTTTTAAAGAAGCACACTTATTTTGGCATGTTGCAACTTTATTGCAACGTTATCATTGCAATCTTACAAATATATTTAAATACATGATATACAAGTTTCAGTAGAAATGACTTTAAGGTTTTTTCGGCAGTACAACTTTAACCATATTTCAAAGGCAATCGAAGTAATTATGAAATTACAAATAAAGGTTACTTTTAAGTTCAAGTCATTATATACATTTAAACTACAATACATTTTCATTTAATTGCAATTAACATAGTTATGTGTCAGTTCACACTTGACTTTAAAGTATATTATTGCAGTAATAAGTACACAGTATGCTAAAGTATACTTCTTTATCACTTCTATAGTCCTAAATTTGTAAAATGCAGCTATTGTAGCTTTGAGACCCAGACTAATGGAAGTATTTCAAATAATAGAACCTATAATCTGATCGGAGCTCTGTTCTGAGGATGATCTGAATGATGTGTTTGTCTTGCAGCTATCAGTCAAGATCGAGTGAATGTAAAGGGATATTTTGCCTGGTCTCTGCTGGATAACTTTGAGTGGAATGATGGCTACAGTGTGCGCTTCGGCCTGTTTCATGTGGATTTCTCTGCACCTGAGCTGAAGCGCACCATTTACGGCTCAGGTAGAGAGTATGCTGCTGTGATATCCAAACACCGCTCTCAAACCAAACCCAAGAGCATTTAATTCCTAACATATTAAATCAACATAATATTACACTTGAAGAAATGACATCTAATGTAAATTCCATAATTCTATTTTTGGGAGATTAAATAATGATGAGCCTAACAGTATCAAAAGTGCTTTCTCTACAGTGTTGTTTGCTGTAGAATCACACAGTACTATAAAAAATTTTGTTAAATTGAAGTTTGATGTTCAGGGGCTCTTGACCATTTAGTATGACGCAAGAAAACTATTCTTGTATGGAATTGTGCACCGAAAGAATGCATAATCAGGAAAAAAAAAATTTAATATGGTGACTTGGAAAAAGATTGATTGACCACGAATTCCCTGTAGAGAAGTCATCATAGATGAATTTATAACATACAACGAGAATAAGGTTTCAGTTCCAATGTTTTGTTGATATACACTGCCTCTGTGTGGCCCAAAGTGGTATTATACTTGGCACAGCATTTTGTGCTGGTATATTGGCTTGCATTGCTTTATGTGCATTAAACAAACCTAATGGTGTAAGATGACAGCATGTATGAGATATTAATGTAACAATTTACATGTAGTAATTTACATGAGGCCATGTAATATACATGCAAACTGAAGTTGCGTTGATTGGGTTGCACATGTAATTACTTTTGGGAATGTGGTTATGCTGAACCTAATGGCAGCCCTGAACTCCCAAGGGAGTAAATGACTGCAGAAATTATGGTTCTGTTCTAATTATTGACCCTGGAACAGACATTATTGCGTCATCTAAATGCATAATATGAGATCACAAATCTTTAAAACGAGATCTTACAGACAATTCTTTGTGGGGGAGATTAAATATTGAAATATTAACATTTGAATTATTATCTTGTAGAATGTTTGAGCGGTATTTTTCCAAACTGTGTTGTTCAGTCTATTTGAATCAGAGCACAACATTGTGAGCTATTTTTAATCCACATGTTCCAGTCTGGGTGGCAAATATATTATTTCAAACAGAATGTTTCTTGACTCTGAATTAGTGCATTTAATTGTAACATTCAATTATTTTCACTGATGGGCGTTTTTACAGATGACAAATTAATCGAGGCACAATTTTACTGGACTGTACTTGTTATATTTTGACAGACCTTATGAAATATTCAGTAACAAGGGAACTCATTAGATTAATATAAATTAAATGAATAATTTAGCTGCTAATTAACTATTTCTAATATGAAGGGGCCTATATTCAAAACCTGGGTCATGTGTCTCAGTCCTAGAACAGGGTTGTTAAAACAGGGAAATATCTTAGAATTTGTGATTTTCAGGCTGGACAAAGTCATGGCAATTAGCAAAACTCTGAAGCATTTTTTTCTAGTTATATATACTTTTCTAGTATATATATATGTACAGTACACTCTAAAAAATGCTGGGTTAAATACAACCCAGTGCTGGGTAAAATAGGGACAAACCCAGCAATTGGGCTGTTTTGACCCAGCGGTTGGGTTACTACCCAGAAGGTTGGGTTAAACATTTAACCCAACCGCTGGGTCAAAACAGCCCAATTGCTGGGTTTGTCCCTATTTTACCCAGCACTGTGTTGTATTTAACCCAGCATTTTTTAGAGTGTATATATATATGCACAGATCAAGAGGTATTGGAACCCTGCTAGCTGAACATCCTATAGTTTTCAGCGTCTGTGACAGTAAGTGCTGATTGATTTGGCTCCAGTGTTGGGGGAGAAGTCAGCAGGGAGTGAAAGACGGTCCAGGGGAATAAAGAGGTGGAAACAGAGATATCCTGTGAGATATAGGCAGTCTCAACGAATAAACCACAGAGGAAGAAGAAAAACAAAGCATGCATGAGAGAGAATCCATTTCAAAGCGCTTTGCCTAATAAAGTCAAATGCAATTAACGTCTTGTGAAGTGAAAAGCTTCTTGTTTGTAATGACAAAAAAAAATATTCATGAAGAATTTAATTCTTCACATTGTTGCTACTGCTAAAATACAGATGCATAATATTGCTTTCTCCAGTGAAAAAGTCATCTCGTCTGAATCTGTGGAGAAAAATATGCACAGATCAAGCAGCGTTTACAGGCAAAAACAGTCCAAAACAGTTTTAAACAAATATGTTGTTGGGTTTTGTTTTGAGGGTGAGTACATTTTTTGGCAAATTTTCATTTTTATGTGAACTATTCCTTTAAATAAATATTTAAATGAAAATGACTGATGCCTTCCACTATGAATTTGCCAATGTCTACACATAATACATAAAGAGCCATTACTAGTCCAGTGGTATTTTGTGATAAATATGTCACATGTGGATGTTTTTCTATAAAAATATTCTCAAGCACACTTGTTTATTTCTGCCTCCGTGTTTGTATTTTCTAGCTTTCAATTTTAAATCAAAATGGGATTATACTATGGAATTGATATTTAACATCTTCGGTCAGTAGGCATTCACAAAGATGAAATATATTTTGAGGGAAACATAAAAGATAGAGCTGTAGGAGACAGCTATAAAAGTAAACTCTCCCCGACGGTCGTGACATTCAATTGAGTGACTACAGCCTGTTTGGACTGAAGTGAATGGGAACACTAATGGCACAATTACAAGGGATTCGCCCTTTCTGCTGGCGTGAGGACTGTACTTTCAGCAGCCAGTTCAGCGTGGCATGTACATTTCTAGTTCCATTTAGTCCTGAATAATAGGCACTCACTGTGAACTGTCATCATCTGAGTGGCTGAAAAAGGCCTCCCTCTGGCCCCAATAATGACAGGATTATATTGTTGCTACTGCTAAAATACAGATGCATAATATTGCTTTCTCCAGTGAAAAAGTCATCTCGTCTGAATCTGTGGAGAAAAATATGCACAGATCAAGCAGCGTTTACAGGCAAAAACAGTCCAAAACAGTTTTAAACAAATATGTCGTTGGGTTTTGTTTTGAGGGTGAGTACATTTTTTGGCAAATTTTCATTTTTATGTGAACAATTTCTTTAAATAAATATTGAAATGAAAATGACTGATGCCTTCCACTATGAATTTGCCAATGTCTACACATAATACATAAAGAGCCATTACTAGTCCAGTGGTATTTTGTGATAAATATGTCACATGTGGATGTTTTTCTATAAAAATATTCTCAAGCACACTTGTTTATTTCTGCCTCCGTGTTTGTATTTTCTAGCTTTCAATTTTAAATCAAAATGGGATTATACTATGGAATTGATATTTAACATCTTCGGTCAGTAGGCATTCACAAAGATGAAATATATTTTGAGGGAAACATAAAAGAGCTGTAGGAGACAGCTATAAAAGTAAACTCTCCCATACCGTCGTGACATTCAATTGAGTGACTACAGCCTGTTTGGACTGAAGTGAATGGGAACACTAATGGCACAATTACAAGGGATTCGCCCTTTCTGCTGGCGTGAGGACTGTACTTTCAGCAGCCAGTTCAGCGTGGCATGTACATTTCTAGTTCCATTTAGTCCTGAATAATAGGCACTCACTGTGAACTGTCATCATCTGAGTGGCTGAAAAAGGCCTCCCTCTGGCCCCAATAATGACAGGATTATATTCTCAATTGATACTGCAGAGACTTTGTATAAGATCGCTAAAAAAAAACAAAACTCATAAGCTTTAGACTAAGAGGCTACAAAGATTATTGCGCCAAGTGCATCGCTGTCTTTACAGAAAAATTATTGGAATTTACCCATCAATTCATGGTCTTTGCTACTCTTTAAAGAGATTAATATTGTTAATTCTTCATAAATTATGTTCAGCCATATTCTCTTATTCACCCTACTATAAAGTAAAACAAAAATGTTAACAGTGTAACAGTGCAGCTTGAGGAGAAACCATAAGCAAAACACAAATATAAGCTATGCATAAAATGGGCAATTATAGAATTAGTGCTGTCAAACGATTAATCGCGATTAATCGCATCCAAAATAAAAGTTTTTGTTTACACAATATATGTGTGTGTATGTGTGTGTGTATATTTATTATGTTTATATAAATACAAACACATGCATGTATATATTTAATAAAAATATGTTTATATATTAAATATATTTATATATACATAATAAATAAACAGTACACATACATATATTATGTAAACAAAAACTTTTATTTTGGATGTGATTAATCGCGATTAATCGTTTGACAGCACTAATAATTATAAATGTGTTGTTAATTATATTATAAAATGAATGTTAATATAAAATTTATGTCAAAAAAAGTTTTTAATTAATTGTTGGGTCACCGTTTCAAACATGTAATTTTAAAGCCTACCATAAACATCATTTAGATCCGTCTGAACAAACCGATTCACTAGAATGAATCAGACTTTCCAATGCTTCATTTCAGAGAGAGGACTGTTTAGGCTGAACCGATTCACTAGAGTCAATCGAACTTTCCGACGTTACTTTAGGACAAATCGATTCACTAAAAGAATCAGACTTAGCTATGCTACATTTGCGAGAGGATGAACCGATTCACTTGAATGAATCAGAGTTTTCGAGTGAGTGCGTTGGATTCTCTCAGCTGAGGAGTTAAAATACAGCATTTGATCGCTACACAGCTACTCCTTTGATCAAGTAGTTAGTTACCAAAGAAGCTAAACTATTGTGTGACGCTGTTCTCTCAGGCTACTGAAAAATAGGTAGCATCTTTACTTTTAGTTGGCTGCTTCAAGTCTGATTCTTATCACTGGACAAAGTGAATTTCTTAGTATTTTTGTCTTGTTTTTCAGTACAAACATCTAAAAAATCTTAAATCAAGATACATTTAGAGTTGGCTACTTGAAAAGCAAAAAAATGACATAGAAATGTATCAAAATTATATAAGTTTATGCTCAACACAGGGAAACAAAAACAACAACAACAACAACAACAAACAATCTGCCAGAGAGGTAAGAAAAAAAAAAGTTTGTCTACTGAATTAAGTTTATTTTTCTTACCCCAGAATTTATTTATTTATTTATTTTTTGATTTTAAGCCTAAAATAACTTATTATTATTGATTGATTGATTGATAATTGATTATTGATCTTACATCATCTTGCTTCTGAAGATTCTCAGGGAAGAAAAAGTACCGAGTAAGAAATTCACTTTGTGCAGTATACTCACACTTCACAGCCTTAATGAATATAAGATGCTTTTCCATCCCATCACGGATGATGTGAGATGCTTGACCAGACCGACTGCTCTGTTCCCTGTAACTCTGAGTCCATTGGCATGCAGGTGCGTACAGGTAAGCGACAGTCATCCATACGGCTGACACATGGAGCTATCAGCCGAGACAGTGACTGATGGCTGTAAGTGGGGCACTGGGAGTGATGCCATGCCGCAAGAGCTTGTCCTGCGGCCCCCCCATGGCAGATAAGAGATGGATACCACCCTGGATTGAGGGCTGTGGTGGATGGACGAGAGGAGGGGTAAGACTGTGTGGCTAAACCTTGAGAATAGATAGCTGGTGAATTACAGCCTCTCATCTTCAAATGTGATGGACGGGGTAGTGGAAAATGCCCGGCGGAGCGAGTGCCAGCTGCTGCTGTTTGGTACTTTGGCAAGGACGGCGCGTGGCGTCTGACATGTGATGATGGACTATCTGATCAGTGAGTTTTTCTAAAACATATTGGTTATCTCTCATACCTTCCAAATGAGTCACTGTGTCTCTTTACCCCTTAAAGGAATAGTTCACCCAAAAATAAAAATGGTCTAAAAATGTCCTCACCCTCAGGCCATCCAAGATGTAGATGAGTTTGTTTTGTCACAAAACAAGCCTAAATAATTATCCAAAATAAAAGTTTTTGTTTACATAATATATATGTGTGTGTTGTGTTTATTTATTATGTATGTATAAATACACACACATACAGCATATATTTTGAAAATATTTACATGTATATATTTATATTCATATAATTTATATCATATAAAAATATATTTAAAATATAAACGTAACACATACAGCAATAGATACATGCATGTGTGTGTGTATATATACATAATAAATATACACAGTACGCACACATATATTATGTAAACAAAAACTTTTATTTTGGATGCGATTAATCGTTTGACAGCACTAGTTTTGTCATAAGATTTGGAGAAATGTAGCATTACGTCACTTGCTCACCAGTGGATGCTCTGCAGTGAATGGGTGCCGTCAGAATGAGACTCCAAACAGCTGATAAAAACATCACAATAATCCACAAGTAATCCACGTGGATTAATCATGTGAAGTGAAAAGCTGTGTGTTTTTAAGAAGCAAATCCATAAAAACCATTGCTTTTGGCTAAAATACGAGTCCATACTCCATAATATTGCTATATCTCCAGTGAAAAAATCATCTCGTCTGAATCAGGAGAGACATATGCACAGATCAAGCATCATT